CAGTCTGCATAATGAACCCCACATCCTCAACCCCACTCTAGCGCAACAAAGAAAAACAAAAACTTACAAGTTAAGGACTCAAGCAACAATGGGTAAACCTTCTAGTACTTTTTTATAAAAACAAAGCCCCAGAACTCTATTTATCTGTTTCTCAGCCAACTGAAACTTTTCATTTCAACACAATAGATGAAAGCGGAATTCAGTCTGCATAATGAACCCCACATCCTCAACCCCACTCTAGCGCAACAAAGAAAAACAAAAACTTACAAGTTAAGGACTCAAGCAACAATGGGTAAACCTTCTAGTACTTTTTTATAAAAACAAAGCCCCAGAACTCTATTTATCTGTTTCTCAGCCAACTGAAACTTTTCATTTCAACACAATAGATGAAAGCGGAATTCAGTACCATTACCAAAAAGAAAGAAAAGCTAGATCCACAGACCTATTTTCAAAATCCTGGAAATGGGAAGAGACTTCTATCTCCTATTTCCCTGACAGTTCAGGATTATTCCCTAGGGTACATTTACTAGTCACTGCCTTTTCTAACTTCATTTTTAGCCTCTAAAAACAGGATCACAATGTGTTTGTATTTCCACAGCCTATTATGCACATCAAACATTTATTATATACACAGTAGCAGTTCTCCACCAAAGATACACAGAGGTCTTCCAACTCATCTAGATAGCTACCTGGTTTCATAACAGGCTATATAAAAAGTATTATTGTTTACACTGCTCTTATATCCTATACACTAAAATGTAAGTACAATATTTATATTCCAACTGATTTTATTATATGCTAAAATGAAAAGGCAACCAATTTTTCAGTACTAGTGCACAATGATGCTTCTGTATTTGTGTGTTTCATTGTATAGGCAAGTACTTTAAATGAGATGAAACCTGGGATACACAAGACTAATCAGACTTCTGTCAAGAAAAGTTATTTTTGCAAATCATTCTCATCTTTTGTTGTTAATGCCACTACCAACACACATAATGCTCTGGCAAAACTGATCCATTGTGGCCCACATTTGCTTTGAAAATTGCTATCCAACAGGGTGCATAGCTTTTTCAAGCAACAACTGGAATGTCAGGAAAAACGTTCACAAGGCTTTAGAGCTCATGTGTCAAGTACTTTTGTCTGTTTATATATTAGTTATTTCCCAGGGAAAAGCCTGTTGTTGTGGCACCTCCTCTAACAAAAAGGGCCAACCACTATCTTCAAGAGGACCCAGCTTCATGACACACAATCATATTTATCACACAGTATCTCTTAGAGACATTTTATTTTGCTCTGGTGACATTGGTTTTATTTTGTCCCAAACACGTACATGCATCCATGGGAACACTCCAAAAGAACAGATTTTCCCCCCCAAAGCTCTGCAGCAAACATACTGTTGGGTATCAGTTAGTACTCATTTTTCTAGCAGGCAGGTAGACCGTCATCCCTATTAGACAGGTATATGGAGAATTACCTTTAAAAATATCTTCATAATTAGTCTCAAGTATTTTACTTAACACTTGTGTTTCTGGTTCATCAATTTAAACACCAGAGATTTCTAGCAATTAAGACCCCAATCCTCCAACAACCTATGTACATGCTTATCTTTAAGCTTGTGAATAATATACAGAACTACTCCTTAAATTCTTTACATTATCAAGGCTTAATATTAATGGCTAAAGATAACACAAAGAACCTAATTATTATAACAAAAGCTGTTAAAAGTTAACTAAAATGACCATTGGCCAAAGCCAGAATAATTCCTGATGCTTAGGACTAAGTTCTTTTCATTCTATGTAGCCTGCAGGGACTTGTAGACCCTAAAGTTTGTGCAATTCTTTTGATAAAATATCAAAAACAAACATTATCTACCATTCCTCTAATGGAAACGTTAGGGGAGAGGAAAATTCAAGCTTACTATAGTTATGTTCCTCCACTTAAGTCAGGCCAAAACACCTGAGACCTCTGAAGTACTTAAAAATTTTATTCCCATGATTCTCTGGAAAGGATTTGGAAGAGGCATTCAGATAGGGTGTTCAAAGCTCACCTTTCAAGAGTTTAGATGAATGTTGTTCTGTGCCACTGCATGGCACAGCCCATACAAAAAACAAAAACAAAAAAGACAAAAAAACAGGGTCTCAGTTATGGGAAAGTGCTTACAACTTATACCTTCTTGGAAGTCATTATTTCCACAGCAATGGCAAGAAGATGTTTATTTGATGAACGATATCAAACCACTAACCACCCATATTTCCCTAATAGGTATGAAAACCTAAGGACTCTGGCAGCTCCCAGCTGACGCCATCGCTAATTCCACACCCCCTTTTTTGACAGGATCCGCCAGACTAAGCTGTTACTGCCGCCTTCTCTACGAAACCGACACACCAGCAACTGCCCGTCCCCGCGGCCAATGTGCACTCCGCGCCTCGTATCCCCAACCCCAGGCGTTGTCGGGGCTGGACGTGGCACACTTCCTTACAGACACGGTTAACAAGCCACCGTGTTCACCGGGGGGAGGGGAGGTTTGAAGAGGACGGAAGGCAGCCATTCCGATCAAAGCCCAACTCCACATTACAACCATTTCCTGCTCCCAGCTCATCAGCTTTAGGGAGACCCAAAGCCCTACGCCCGGGAGACACACCCCCACCTGCCAACCCCGCCCCACATGGCAACCCCCTGCCTGCCCTCCCCCAGCCCTTTTTGTCGCGCCCCCCAACCCCTCCCATCACCTGCTGCTTACCCCCCTCCAAGGCCTCCATTGAAACCGGCGGCTGCTCAGGGGCCCCGGCGGCTTGGGGGGGAGGGGAGAGGGAGGAGAGGTTCAGGGTTCAGTCTCCCTGCGCCGCGGAGCGCCGAGCACCCACCTTTCTGCAACAGCAGCGTCACCTCGCCGTTCTCCTCCCGCCCGGCCGCGCTTAAGCCGCCTCCGGCCGCCAGGGCCCCGTGCTTCCTCTTCTCCTTGTCCCGCTTCTCCTTGGGCCTCTTGGGTTTGCTACTGCCACCCCCATCGGCGGCCGGG